TTCTGCCCATGTTGGCTTGCTTCTAAAGCTACATGAGTGGATAGGGAAATACCAAAAGCACTTCAGAAAATGTAGAAGTTGTTCTTCAAAAGCCTTTTCAAACTGTAGTTTTCCTCTAGCTTAATTAGCGGGACGATGAATTAGAGAGGCATGAGAGACTATATCTGATTTGCTTTCTAGTCCACCTCTTGATTCTGTGTCTCAGGCTTCCATCACACAGTTCCCTTCATTCTGTGTTTTTATTATATTGGACCTTAAGACCCTTATTGGGTCCCTCCCCAGGCCAGGGCTCACAAGGAGGGTAGAGTTACCTTCATTTTACAGGCAGGCAGGTGAAACGTCTTGTCACAGCCATGACCAGCAGGACCCAGCAGGGATCCCGCACCTCCTTGTGCCCGGTCTAGTACCTGCCTGGGAGCCAGCCTGGCTCCCACGGGGTTTGGAGCCTGGTATTTCCAGAGGCAGAGCAGTGGCTGAGTGGCAAGACTGGTTTTCCAGGAATGCGACGCAGACTCCCTGCGTATTTTCTTTAAACTGCAGCTGGTCTCTTGTGGCTCGGCAGAAGCAAATATATGTGGTCAGGACAGGCAAAAGCCAAGAAAGCAGAAAATCTTTTAAGCTCCTTTACAATATTGATGTATTGGATGAAGAAATGCTGCAATTTCCTGAAACAAAATAAAGGTATTCATGTAATAATCTGAGAAGGCCAATTTGAGGTATTAAAGGACTGACCAGGAAACAGGAACAGTCAACTTGAATCTTGAGAAGCGCTAGGGGAAAGGTCTGTCTGATCCACTGAGACTCATCTGCCTAATTACTGTCCAGCTCCTTCATCTCCACAAAGGCATCTAATTACTTATTGAATTACTCAAGTGTCCTAGGCCTGTCAAACTGGCCACATTCTCTGGCCGTTTCTGCCTGCTCCATGAGCAAGTTCAGCAGTTTATCTGGGAGAAGTCAGGCAGTGCAGCGGTCAAACTGGAGCTGGCAGGGCAGGAATTGCTGGCAGGATCATCCCTGCTGCTGCCCTGCTGCACACTGTGTGTGTGCAGGGGGAAGCAGAGTGAGCGTTATGCAGTTGTCACTGGATTTAACATACTCACCAGAGGGATGTAAAACTGGCTAATACGTTAATTTTACTCTGGCATCCTACTAAAAAGGGAACAATTTCACTCTTACTGTAGGTACTATTTTGTATGCAAAAGTTATTATAGAAATCCTCATGCCAGAAGATAGTATCTTGGAGCTATTGAGACTGGAATCCTGCCTCCAGCAGTTGCCAAGGACTAATGTTTATATCAAAGGACACTACCTGCCACTCCCTTATCTAGATGAGAGCTTGGTGTTTTTTCTCAGTGTCTCCTCAGAGGTGAGGCATGTTTCCAGGATTGGTTAATTCCAACAAGCTGATCCAGGAGGGGAAAAAAAAAAAAAAAAAAATGACTTCAGAGCCCTAAAGTTTAACACTATGGTCCAAAAAGTAGAGCAGCTGCCTGATCTCATTAGGTACTGCAGCCCTGATCTGAAAATTCAGCTCTGGCACAAGCCTACAGTAACTAAAGGTGCAGCCCTGCGCATGCGGTACAGTAGGACAGTGGCAGTTTTCTGAGTTTAAGAAAGCAGCCCCTCTGAGGAGTTAACAGTGAAAGACTTTGCAAAAATAGGTTGAAAGAAACTATTTTATATAGGCAGCTAATGCACTTGCAAGAAGCAGGAAAACAGCTTCAGCTTCCCTCCTCATTGCAACAATTCTAGGTCTACTTACTGATTTTAAGGTAGAATTGTGGCCCTTTACTACTACTATTGCAATCTGGACTTTATCTAGGCAGAGCTAGGCTCCTTTCCACTTGTTCTCTTTCTAGCCTCTTTATGCAGGGGAAAAAAAAAAAAAAAGTGTTAGATGGCTCAGTTTCAAAAAGTGGTCAAGACACCCTACCGGGAGGTGAGAAACTAAATCTATTCCTGCCAAGAGTTGCCCTTAAGACCTTAAGGGAAAATACTTACTATTGATTTGGAGAGCAATCGCTAACCACCAAATCAACATGCAGAAGAGAGTCCTTTCCTCACATACTCCTTGTCCTGTTTTGCAGCAGGAACATAGATTTTATATAAACAGTTGAGAGTCAAGCCACAAAATCACATTATCTTCACATGCAGATTTTCAAACCATTTTGGAAATGTTGTGGCCTCCAGCTGTCACTAAAAGGTGCAGATATTTGATTTCCCATTCTGAGCATGATTACCGAGAAACATTTAAATGGGATAAGGATATTGATGGAACAATCATGTGTAAGCCAGGCTATACGCACTGGGCAGCATGCAAACCTGCTGCGGTGAAGTTCACAGTGGTCTCGTGTCAAGGGCTTGCAGCACATTTCAGATACTCTCCATTTTTGCACAGAAGGGGTACGAAGCAGTGTAACAGCATATACATACAAGGTCAAATCCTAGCATTTCCTACAAACTACATGTTCTGGAAAGGTGATGGAGTCTGGTTGGAATTGTCTCTGTTCACCCACAAACTCTATGGATAAGGCTATAATGAAGCTGTATAGTCCGTCGAGCAAGGAAGTGAGGATGCGGTGGTGTTACTCAATGACAGATGTAGTTACTAGCTTCTTGAGCGGCTGTGGTCTGGAAAGGAAGCAGAATAGCTTTAGCTGATAGCCAAAAGGCTGAATATGCCTTCACTATCAAGAGCATCAGAGTGAACTTGCACTCCAGACTGATACTGTGTAAGATGAAATGAAGGTCAGTTCAGTTCTTGCAGAGGACTGGTGATAGCCATCTTATTTAATGACCTTCTACTAAAAACTCTGTCAGAGCTAGATTAATCTAGGCATTAAAACCTCACATAATTTAATCAGGGTTCCAGGAATTTGGACTCATGAATTTATTCTTAAGGAAAGAATTCTGGAAAAAAAAAAAAAAGCTGGGAGTCAGAGATGCTTTTTGAAGTCTTTTTATTGCAAAAGGTCTGGACATTTTCTGGCAGATTACTTGATCACATTCTCTACTTGATCACATTCTCTACTTGATGGTCATCCAGAGGACACTGCATGCATTCAAGCTGAAAGCATAGGGCAGTCCCACGAGGCACCTGAGAAATGTCATGGGGAAGTAGTCTTTCAAGTTGAAAGAGACACCTTTGAAAACGATCACCTACTGGGGTGCCCTTTGCTTCCCAGAGTCACCTGGGAAATAAGAATTAAATCAGCTATAGTCATAGCTAACTGTAAACATTTTCCTGCAATGCAACAGAAACTGTTATCTGGATAATTGACCCTGAAGTTGTGTTTTCCAGTTTTAAACAGGAAACTATTTCTAAAGCAGGCAGAGCAATGAATTGCATCTAACTTGGCACCTAACACTCAATGCTGCATTATGCAGCAGAGGCATGTGATGCTGCTGCTTATCTGGCCTGTATCAAAGTAAGTCTCATGATTCTTGTATAGTCTCCAAGAGACTTTCCTTCCCCCCAAAACGTACTACTTCTCTTCCTGCTCCCAAGTCCAGTATCATTTCAAACTGCTTGCTTACGCCTTCCAAATGTGATGATTCCCTTTTTCTTCCCAGCCCTTGTGTGAAGGCATGATTAAGAACACATTCTGTAGCTCTGTTAAAAACAGCAAAACTATCTTCATGTTTAGGCTGTCCATCCACATGCAGGACCTCCAGTGCATGTGAATTTCACTGATTTTTCCCATAGGTCTGAGGTTGATCATCTTTGGCAGAGAGCAGTCCTGAACCAAATGGAATAAACGATCCATTGCCACTCTAACTGGGTGCATGTGTTGCAACTGCAGCTGCTTAGGATCAGGAACTTGCTGCAAGAGAAAAGAGCTTACAGGATGGTATCTTCAAGAGTAAATCCATCTGAATAGAGAATATATTAGAATATATTAACTAGCAGCTGCACTCAGCTGCAAGTTACTAATGGACTTTATTCGAAGCAGACAAATGCAAAGGTGTAGCAAAGCATTAAGGACTAATTTACTCTGGATGACACTACAGGCTCTTTAGCTTCTATTGTTAAGTTAAAAATCATGCTAATTGCTGTATCATTCCAAGCATAAAACAGCTACAGTCTGTTACTTACTGTGTCCTTAATAATCAGCTGTAGACTGTGAGAAATTTTTTTTGCTTTCAGAAAACAGTAGTAGAAAGAACAATTCACCAATAACTTCTTTTCAGGCACAGTAGTTTTAAAATCCACCGGGGAAGCGGCAGATTTAAGTTTTCTATCAAGACTGTGGTTCTGTAATAACAGACATGCATCTCAATAGTCAAATCAATATTCATATACAGGGCCTTAGCAGAGATGGGGTACACAGTTATTTGCATTAAGACATGGTAGCCATTACAGCCCCACGAGGCCCTTTGAGTTATTTTATTCACAAAAAGCCCGAATAAACTTGTTTCCAATGCAGGCACCCTCAGTCCTTTCAGTGGGAAGATACAGGTTGTTCTATTTAAACCAGTCAATTTGCAGTGAAACAGTTATACCCCCCCAGGGACGCTAGCCTTGCAGTGAGTATTTTAGTCACTAACAATTCAACACTCCAGTTTGTGTTGTAAGGAAGAGATAACTAAAACTTTTAATGCTAAGGCATGTAGCTTTTCACTTCTCCACTTTCAAGTGTATTTCGGTACAGGATATATATTTATTTTTAATCTATTTGATATTGCTCTGAAAGCTACCCAGCCAATTCCATGTTCATCACTGCTGGAACCTGCTTTTACAGGAATAAAAGGCCTCTTGACCTGATCCAAAACTAGCACTAGCAAAGTCCACAGTGTTCCTTGATAGCTGTTTTACATCATACCCATGTCTTCAATCCCAATATATTTTTAGCAGACACTTAAGGGAAGTGGCTCAGATGACTTCTGACACTGACAACATGCTGATGATCAAAGTGTCCTCCCTGTCAAGCCAGGAGGAATACAGTGCCTTTTCTATCTTTCTTCCACCATTACACAAACTGGGGATGAGGTCTAGGAAAACTCTAAATAGTAAGTGCAGAGATACAAGACCTTTAAGATGCATCCTGAGATGGAGCAGGAGGATCCTTATTCTCGGGCTCTGGTGGGGGAGCTGGCACACTTTCCTCCTTCTTTTGCGCAGCCAAGAACTCATGAATCGCCTTCTCTATCTGTGGCCTGAAGATGTGGTTTAGTTTTGGATCCACCACCTGAGAAATAATTCTGTCCACTCCAGCTTCCAGCATTCCTGACCTTGGACAAAGACAAAGGAGTCATTCAGCTCCTCTGAACAGCTTCTCCCCAGTCTCCTCCAGGAATTCTCCAGAGCCCTCCTGTCAACTGCAATTAACATTAACAGGGTGAAAACTGCAGCCCACTCAAAAGATCCTTAACCAGGAGCTGTTTCAGTCACCTATTCTCCCCCACTCCCTTTCAGTTCTCCCTACAGAATTAACAACTGACATCTGGTCTCCCAGGTACTTAAATGACACCACGGACAAGAGCCATTGTAATGGGGCTCATAAGGAAATGAGGTCAACATAAAAGCAAACACACACACTTGGGCACAAACAAGGGAAACAAACTATTCTGAGGAGGGCAGGTGGGAACACAGTCTTTTTTTTGGCTAACTCCAGGGGAAAAGGCCTTCCCCCTAATAACACTACTGTCACTCATGCCTTGTAACTGCAAGTCTAGACACATGGGTATTAATTAAGAAAACAAGCACATTTAACACAGCAAAGTTTTTGGAACAAGCACTAGTAATTGAAGTGACTAATTGCTTCAGGGGCTGCGTCAGACTCCTGGATTATGGGGCATGGGCAGTCTAGCTGGCTTAAGTCATGTCTGCAAGAGAGCAGGGGACAGGAAACAGAGACATTGCCCAGCATTTGGAAATGTAGCCACAAGCCTAATAAGGCCCTGCATGCTGGTGAGTGCTTGCATGCATGGTCACTGCACACCATGTCCACTCCATGGAACAGCACATGGATATGTGCATCCAGTAAAGGCCAGGTATCCATGCCGGCATCCTGACACACTTCACTGCTCTGTCCTTCAGCTCCCACAGCTGAGACAGACTCTTCAAACTCCCTAATCCTGTGCAGCTAGTCCTTGCACTAACCCCCTACCTGGAGTGAGCACTTTGTTTTATTAATTACAAGGCTCCCTGGTGCAACATTTTTCAATTGCAGTTTCATTCTAGTTGTAGAGTTACATGAAGTGAAAGAGGAAGCATCAAGTGACAAAGACATTTCAAGGACTTAAAGATAAGGCAGGAAATTCTGTACTTGCAGCAGATGCTGCCTTCTCAGATTACAGGTTAAATCCTAGAACTAATGCTATGTACTAATAATTTATAGTTTCTATTGAGTGCTCTGAAATATATATTTTGTCTTGTGTACAAGGCATTCTAATAATTTTCCCTGCAAGCATAAATGCAGTTAACTCTCCTACTGTCCCTCTCCTCTAGCTTTACTCTGATGTTTTTAGTGTGACTTCTAGTTCTTGCTGGCACATTACAGTTCAAACTGGCTTTCTAGCTGCGTTGGAAGGGCAGTATTTTATACAACTGTACAGAAGCTACTGCCAGCAGGCTAAGACCAGGATAATCCAGTCTGACTACTGCCCACTAGTGGTTAAGCAAGTTTTGGTATCTTCAGGGAATTTTCTGTAAGTGAAATAAGTTTTTTTTTATTATTTTTTTTTTAAAAAAACCTCTGAAACTAAAGTCCATGGTCATTCAACTGAGTGCAACTCAGTTTTGCTATCAGGCAGAGTTAACTATTTGTGGCAATAACTTGACTGGATGGTGAATGTGAGCACAATGCTACCTGACTTCCAAAGCTATAGGTTTCTAATATAAGCATTTTAAAGGGAGTTAATACTGTATCTGCTGTTAAAATGAACTTCGGGAGAGCACAGTAAAAAGTGTTGTGAGAAATGTAACTATGCAAATACTTACTTGTCTAGGTGATATGTATATTAATTGTCCAATAGCATCACTAGAGGTTTACAGAACACTGCTTACTTACTGAATCACGCTTTGTCTTAGCCCATTTCGTAACTGGTTTTTGTTCATTGCTGGATTCCATTCTTGTTTGTCCAGATGGGTAGATACAAAGTTGTCCACTTTCTGCCTCAAATTCTGATAGGCTGGCTTAAAAAAAAAAATCCAGTAAAACAGCTAAAAATCTCACAACAAAGCTCTGAAAGAATCCTTCAGAGTGCATCTTTTGTGATCTGTGCCACTGTTCTGCTGTCCATGCTCTCTATGCCCGGGCCTTCAGAACAAAGGAGCACTTGTTTAGCCCAAGAACACAACTGGTAACTGCAAATTGCAGTTTGGGAGCGTGCTCTTTTAATAGCTTGAAATAGGTGGCTAGACTTTTTCTGATGCTGCTGTCTGCTCTGAGTGCTACTTGCTGAAATGCAATCTGTGCAGACTGGAGTTTTTGTTGTCTGGAAACCCCTCTACCATGTAAGTCCTCGCAAAGTGTCTGATAGCAGCACTGGTGAATAAATTATTTGTTTCTGGGCCTCTGACACAGAAGTAAATAACCGGGGGGAGGAAGAAGTCGGTGGAAGCTTTGTGCAATTCCTGTTCTTTGGAATTAGCAAATGAGGGCAACTGCTTTACACGCACGGAATACTGGTGTACGTGGTATATTGTATGTGCGGGCCCCTCCAGCTCCCGGGATTGTGCAAGGAAGGCCAGGGCAGCGTTTGGGTGTGGGTGCCTATAGGCGCCTCGGGCAGCGACGCCCCCCGCGCCCCCGCGGCGCTACCTTGGTGTCCACGTCGGCTAGGCAGTCGCGGCGGAAGCCGTCGAACAGGCCGCGGCTCTTGAGCTGCTCCACG